ATTATTCAGCATGTACTTCTAACTAGAATCTTAAAATTTTTTGCAGTAGTTTTTAAGCTTTTTCAAATGAAAGTCTCCTTGTTGTTCTGTAAGTTTCAATATTGAGGTGCTTATCTTGTTTTCAAGATTCTTTGACCTCCATCTTTAGAGCTTTTGATATTTGTCAGCTTTTGTCATTTCATTTATTTATTTTTTAAATTTCTTCTGGCTTTGGGTCTTTTTTTTTCTGGTGTTTATGCTAGTAATGTTTCTTAAACTCTTTATTAGTGGGATCATCCTTTTTTTGTGTGTGCCCAAGACTTGGTCTCCTTTTTTCTGCAATTCTTCTTGTAATCCACAGTAGTTGCTGTTCTCATTTCATGCATTCCTGTGCTGTGTTGTTCAGATTATATTTTCAATTTGACCATTACCTTTTATTATCATGACACACACATCCTGTGTTGTCTCATTAACGTTATTGCCAATATATTGAGTACCAAATGTACCTTTTGGCTTCATTTTATCTTTGGTGCAAGTTTTTGGTCTTGAATCATTGGGTCTGGCACTTGTCTGTTTCACTTGCTGCTGCTACTGTGGTTCTTACTGAAGACAGTCTGTAGGCTGGTACATAAGATGATTCCCTAGATAGCAGATATATTGTGGTTAATATATTGTTATACACTTTTCTTTAATTTCACTGAGAAGTTCCTATTAATAATTATTGGTGTAAAGTTTTTTTGGTGTACAAAACTTGAAGATAGCTTTTATATGCGGAAACATTTGTAAGTTAGTTCTTGCACAGATCTTAAAATATAATGTTGATAAATAGAAACAAATGATAAATAGAAACGTTGATAAATGATGAAACAAAATTCAAAAGGCTAGGCACTGTTTCGCAAAATGATAACATGGCAAAAATTAAAACAAGTTACAAAAATGCTTATTAGAACTGGTTAAGAAAGGTTCCTTACCATGTGATATTTATGACTGGATTAGGCCCACAGGCTCACAACGTCCCCGCATGTATGGCCCTCCTAAAATGCACAAAAAGGATGTACCACTCTGCCCGATTTTTGTCTATGATTGGCTCTGCACAACATGAATTAGCAAAGTGGCTTTCGGAAGTTTTAGAACAGGTGTTAAGGTACTTTTCGGAAAAGTGACCTTATCCCTGACCCTAAACAATCGTTTTTGTGCT